AACAGAAGTTGATTTGTTACCTATTGTCATGTAACAAATTGCCCCAAAACTTCCCAGTTTAAAGCATACATTTACTAGCTCATATTTTCTAGGGGCCAGGAATCCCAGCAGAACTTTGCCAGGTCCTCTGTTCTGGCGTCTCATTGGCTGCAATCCAGATGTAGATCAAAGCTGCAATCTCTTCTGTGGACTTGCAAGGAAGGACCTGCTTCCAAGCTCCCTCAAGTATGGGAGGGTTCGGTCACTTGGGGGCTGGTAGACTGAGGCCTTGGTTATTAATGAGCTATGGGTCACAGCCCCTCTTGGCTCCCTGGCTTGCGGGCAAGAGCCTCTAAAGAGCCTCTCATGGCTGCCAGATTGCTTCATCGGAGTGAGTAAACGAAAAGGCAAGAGGAAGTGCTGGTGAGGAGCAAGACACATGTCATAGTCTTCTGGAACCTCATCGCAGAGGTGACAACCTACCTCCTATCAGTTTTCTATCACCATACTTTATTCTTAACAAGCAAGTTTCTGGGTCCATTTTATACCCAGAGAGAGGGAGAGAATACAGAAAAGTGTGAATATTAGGAGACGGGGATTATTGGGAATCATGTCAAAAATTTATAAGGAAATGCCTAATAGAACTTCAGAAAAGGGGCTGAGCATGCAACTCGGTGGTAGAGCACTTGCCTGGCTCGTGTGAGGCCCTGGATTCAGTCTCTAGCACCACCTGCACACACACAGAGGGAGGTGTCAGTTTAGATGAGAAGACCAAGAGCTCAGCTTTGGAAGAGGCAGAAAACTATGCAGGCACACTGGACTTGGGAGTCAGAACCTCTAAGAGAGTCTCCAGGTTCACACAGCAGGCCTGAGCCTTGGTTTCATTTTTCCAGCAAATGCCTGACCCCACTGAGTCACACACTTACCCAGCAGCCCAACCTTGTGCAGTGGTATCCCTGGCTTCATATATCATGCGTACCATGTTACTGTATCATAACTCAATGTCTTGCTGTATAAGTAAGTGATAGAACTGTTGTAAGAGGCACATACAAGAAGCCTTTGATGGGCACCTATTATGTGCCAGGCATTGCTCATATATTAAACACACGCATTTATAGGTGCTGGGGCTCACAGGGTCTCCAGCCAGTGGAAACCTGCACTTCTTGGGTTTCTGGGCTGTGGTCATCTTTCCCATACGTGCCTATATTTCTCTGCATCATGCTTCTTCTCAGAAATGGTAGCAGTCTTAGTGCTTGAACACTGCAGTGACCATGAGCAACACAGCCTCTGTCTACATAGTTTCAAAAACGTGAACCTCACTACCCCATCTAGCAGCCACTCTATCAGGGAGCTCATTGTTACCAAGTTCTCCCCTTTATCCCAATTATTATCAACCAAAAATCTGATCTTACGGTTTCCAAGCATTGGCTCCGGCTCACCTTCTAGAGTCATCAGAGAAATGTCCTTTCTCTTCCAAGCCTTTGGGGAGTTGAAAGAAGCTCTGAAATCTTCATTTGATGCCAAAAATAACAGGACCAGCTAAAATCTTAATTGCTCTTTATGAATCATCCTTGATAACTGAATTTTCACAAACATTATCCCATTCACAACCTGTAATAGCTAAATTTTAATTGCTAAATATTACTTTGGCTTCTACACTAAATAGGAATGAGAAAACTGGATAAAATAGGTGATGATTTCACTCCAGACACTTCTTCACGTTCAACAGATGAAGACATTGAGGCTTGCAGAGGTTGTCATTTCAAAACTACCTTTATGTAACTAATGTTAAAATATAATTTTCAAAAAGTGATAAAACTGAGACTCTCACAGAAATATGAAATATGCCCAAGATTTTATTATATCATTAATCACTGAAAATTAGGAAAATGTTACAAGTGGTTCTGAAGAGAACTCAGTGAGCACACAGCTATAGATTAGAAATATTTAAAGTGGATGTGCAAAGGGAGGTAAAATTTTTAGGAGGAAATGTTGGATGAACCTCTACTATACAAGACAGGATATGCATACCTATCAGGTACCTTTGACTCTCAGAATTGCAAGAAAAATCCCAGAAAATCAAAACCAGATAACCAGGAAGAGTGTCCTACAGGGCCTCAAGCTAGACAATCCCCGATTCCACTGCAGCCCACGTTTTCCCCTACCCTAGTATAGCGAGGCTCTGAACATAGTTCTTTATGACTTTCCACTTAATCACAGTGCCCTCTAAGAAAAGCTGTTTAAAGCATTCATTGGCTTTTTCCAAAGGCCAAATCATAATAGGGTTAGGCCTTCAATGGCTGGCAGCAAATGAAAGAGGGCGCAGAGAAAGGCCCTGAAGAAGAAAGGGTCAGCAAGGACAGTAAGTCCCTGCCTCTCCTCATTCTCCCTGTCACTAACGGCCCTTCCCTTCCTCTTCCATCAGCCTATTTCTCATTCAGCAGGCGCCGGGCTGGGGGTTTCCAGCCCAGCACCCCTCCCCCAGCTCATTAGAGTGTTCCATTGTGCAGTGAAAGGAGGCAAGGGGGTTATGCATGTTTTCGGTTTTGCCGAAAGTCTATAGTGTTTCAATAGCCTCTTTGTTCTCACTCTCAATAGCTCCTGTGTCTTAAGAAATTACAAATTTTTATTCTTCCTATTACATTAGTAGTTTGGGGAAAAAAGGAAAAACGGAGAAAAGGAACCAATTAAAAAAAATAAAGTTCTTAGGCTTAAGAAAGGCATTTATAATAACTTCACAGGTCTAACCTGCACTTACTGCCAGCAGTTTAAACAGAAGTTTCTGTGAGAGGTGAGCAATAAAGAAACCGTTTAGTGCTTGATCTCCAGAGATGCTTTTATCAACTCACTTGCCCCCTTCACCATCACTGGTTTCTGTGTGATCCACAGAAAAAGGAGACCTGCCAACCATATCTCCCACATTTGCATGGGTCAGGCCACTTATTAAATGAGTTTTTCCCAAGTGGCAATGCTTAGCAGGCTATGATGGCACATGCTTAAATATTTCATCAATTTCAATGGGATGTCAATTTCTTCTGCCAGGAAAGGTGGCCTCCTAGGCTAATCCTGCATGAGGGAGGGGAGCCAATTCCAAAGCAGAATGTGACTCTGAATATATAAGGCTTTATCTCCCAGCGTTGTTCAATGGCTTCGTTCCTTTCAGCCACGGGTCCAACAAAATTGGCTCCAAATTTGGAAAAGACAGAGTCCTTTTCTGTTTGAGAAGGGATGGAGCCTGTTTGCTTCTGTGTTATTCTGTGTCTTGCTTGGTACCTGGTCAAAGTTGGTGCTAATACAATGTTTTTTAGTAAAACTGAAGTAAATCCACTAACTGGTTTTCTTTTTCACTCAGCTACTATTTAGTTGACAGCTACTCTATTCCAGCTTCTTGACTAAGGGCTGGGGCCATCACAGTCAATCAAGCAAGATTTTAGTCTTCACAGGGCTTACGGTTTAGCAAAAGAGAAAGGCAATTTTAAAAGTGGATAAATGATATTATTCATAAATAATCATATTTCATGTAGAAATAAGGGTTCTGAAAAGAAAAGGTAAAGTGACAGAAAGTGACAGACTAGTAGTAGGGGGAGGGCAGACAACACATTCATCCATCCTCGCATTCATCCATCTGCACAGTCAATACCCACTGAATTATTTTCTTATCCACTGAGAAATTCCTTGCTGCAAGAAAGATGAAGGTAAACCACACTATCTCTGCTCTCCACACTATTACTCTATCACCCACTGAAGGACAGTGGCTAAGAATATATAAGCATTCACTGAGTGTCTACTGTGCATCAGTTATGGCACCTGGCTTTTAATATATAATTATTTTATACAATTATAGATGTAATATTTAAAACCCCCAAAGAATAGCTTTTATTACTTTAGTCCAACAGTGAGGGTACTGATATACAAAGTGAACACCTCACCCAAGATCACCTGTCTCCAACCTGTGGAGCCAAGATTTGAATATTGTTTCCTCTACTCTAAGACGCATGATTTGCGTGTTACACTGTGTCAGCTCAGGATCTGAGGCACCATGCCAGACACCACAGGGGAAATAAAGTGGTCAGATAGCAGCCTCTGATATTGTCAATGAGATCCTAAGTTCACTGGGGAAATGGTTTGTATTCTCACCGCCATAACCAAGGCAAAGAGGAGAAATAAAAAGTGATGGGTTAGAAGGACCAGAAAAGCATCGTGAAAGTGTGCAAGGAGCCCATAAAGGCAGGATAGATTTGAAAATGAGAGATGAAACTGAAAGGGAGGGAGAGACTGTTTATACATCAGAGCATCCACAGTGTGTTAGGTAAACAACACACACAGACACATGTATCCTCAGACCTGGAGTGAAAGGACAGGGCTCGCGCCAGCTCAAAACACAGGGAACCAGAACTTGACATGCACCTCCCTTGGAAAAAGACCAGGGAGCCACAAGATGCTCAGGAAATGAAAACAACACCCTGTGATGTTTATCTTCTCGTGAAGATAAGTGAGATCCTTTCAACACACATGCACACAAAGGTTAGGAATTCTACTGGGGGGATTCTACCTTGCTTTCAGTAAGTTCCACTACTCTTATCAGTATTCCTAAATTAGTTGCATCCTCACCAAAATAAAAGTTCAGAAAAAAAGAGTTTCAAAGTCCAATCAGCTGGGAATGTGCTTAACCTCTCAGGGCTGCAGTTTCTTCACCAATAAAATAAGATGGAAAATGAATGCTTCCAAAGTCCTTGTTAAGATCAGGAGATGTTATCCGGCAGACAGGAATTTGCACAGGGACGTGGCCACACCTTCAATCAAAGTGAGTCCCAATCTTCCTCTCCTTCACTCTCCTTTTCTGCAGAAGATACCTGCTCAGCCAGAAAACTTGCAATTGCCTTGTTTCCTCCGCAGTCTATTCTGGATACAAATATTCTTTGGGTCACAAAACTCTGCCGATTTTCCTACTCACAGCATCGTTCACACCCATGCTCCTCTTTCCACCCCATGACTCCCATCATCTGTTCCGGCTTCCTCACCAGTCTCCACGCTTCCCATCTGTCCCCTCCGGTCCTGCATCTTTGAGTGACGAGACCACAGACGGAAGAGACAGCTGAGACTTCAGCTTCCCAGCTCTTACGTAGCCCCGGCTGGCCAGCAACTCCTTGAGAACACAGAAGGGAACTGGTAGCAAAATGGAACCATCTCGTGTTAAAGCTGGTCAGAAGTGGGAGGCTCCCATCCTAGGGGACTCACCCTGCAACCTGAAATTATGTAAATACCCACTGCTCCAGGAACTGACCATGAACCTCTTCCCCTAGGGTCACTTGGGGGTAAAGCCCAGGGAGGACAGAGTTTTTCCTTCCAATAACACCACCCATGCTCCTGTGCCCACCATCCCCTCACAGTTGCACGGGCGTCTAGAAAACAAATGTAGGAGAAAAGAGTAGACATCACAGCTGAAGGCACTGGAGCTATAGGGGCCCAGAAAGCACCTGCTGGGATTTATGTTTTCCTAAGCAGACAAGCAAAACAAGCTGCAGCTTCCTGGGGGAATGAATGCAAGGACCTGCAAAATGTTCTTTCTTTTCCAAAGCTCTCCAAGCCATTCTCCGTCACTACAGCAGTGACCTTCCAGTAATAAATATAACTCACACCACTACCCTGCACTGTCTCCTTTGAAATAGCAAAATCTAAATCTTGAAATGGTCAGCCAGGCATGAAAAGCATCCCCCTTCTAACTCCTCTTCACTGGTCTTCAGGAAGTTTCTTGGCTGTCTGAGTTCTCCTCCATCCCAGGGCCTTTGCACTGTTACGCTTGCCTAGCAGAAAGCTCTCCTGCTCTACTGTTCCCATGACCAGGGCCTTCTCTCCCAAAGGCTTTCATCTACAGGTCTGAGAGAAGAATGTCCCCACCACCTTATGAAGCCCACACTCGCCTGTTTTCTACCATAAGCACTTGCTTGTTTTTAACCATAACATGTTCTGTACTTTGCAGGTATGTGTGCCTCTGATGTCTTATTTTATCTCCTGACTTCCATGTAAGCTTCACGAAGACAGAGAATACTGTTCAACTTAGTCACTGTTTAATCCCTATGCCTGACTTAGTAGGAGTTCGGTAAACTCACTGAATAAATAAATAAACTCACTCCACTATTTTACTGATGAAATACAGGGCTCTACATTACACAATTATTATAAGATAAATGAAATGTAAATATATACATTTATCTATGCTGATCTAAACCTCACAGGTTCCTGTGGGATAGACATTATCATCACCTTGTTACCATTCTGCAGATGAGGGAACTGGAGCACAGAGAGGTTAAATATTCTCCAAGGTCGCACAGCAAATGAAGACGCTGTTGGAGTCATCACCCCCACCCAGGGCTCGTGGACTAGACACGAGTGTCCGTGAACTCCCTGGAGTGGAGCACAGGGGGACGTGGTAAGCACAGCCAGGCCCCCTTTCCTCACCCCGCCTGTGCCCAGCCCACTTGGATGTCAGAGCCCCAGGGAGGCTCACCGGCCACCCCACACCCATGAGAGCCAGGGGCAGGAGCACTCCCCTCCCCTGCCATGGTTTATGTCCTATGGGAAGCCAGCTACTGAGCAGAGCAGAAACACGTGTCCCCGAGACAGCGTCTTCAGTCCCTCCTGGGACTATTCTGCCACGAAGCAGATGCAAAGCTTCATTTATCACTTCCAAGGAAACATGAAAGAGCAAAGCCCCAGCGGATGCCCCTCACTCCCACTGTTCGCCAGGGCAGGCCCTGTCTCATCAGGACCCCAAAAGGCCCTTGTGCAATGGGCTGAGCCCAGGCCCCTGTACAGGCCTGGAGATGGGCCAGCTGAGGGGCTCTGTTCGGAAGAGGTTTCTCTTTAGAGGTGATATTCACATAACGTAAGATAACATTTTAAAGTGGGCAATTTAGTGGCCTTTGCTTCCATTCACAATGTGGTGCATCTACCACCTCTGTGGAATTCCAGACATCTAAAGCAGCCCCTACCCATTCCCCCTCCCCACCCACGGCAACCCCTCACCTGCTTTCATCCAATTTGGGGCATTCCATATACGTGGGATCAGACAGCATGTTACCTGGGTCTGGCTTCTTAGCAAAATGTTCTAGAGGCTCATCCATTTTGTTTATAACACGGGTCTGTTTGTCTAACAGGATTCTGACCACTTGCCCCTTAGACAAAAGTTAGAGTGTCACTAACAGAGAGTACAGAGCTGACGACCAGTCTTCTCTCATCCTACCCAGACCCACTGAGCAGTGGGGCATCAGAATGAGACTTCTCTGGAAACTCCATTTGCAGGAGAGGGGCAGTCCCTTGGGTTGTCCCCAGCCAATGAATCACCCTAGGAAACACCAGTACCACCACAAAGGACAGGGCCCTCATTGACAGCAGATCCATGAAGGAATGCAGAATCCAGCCCTGCTAGCGCTGGGAGGCCCAGCACCCACAAAGAAAACCCATTCATATGTATGTACCTATATATTTTTGCGGAAAAAAAAGCTAAACCCCACAATGCAAAGAACCAGGCAACTTGCAAGGGTTTAAGTGGAGCTGTATTTCACCTTCAAGAACAACAGATTTGCGACTGAGCTCACTGCAGCATCTACAAAGGGGGTTACATGCATGACCAGAGGGTCAGCTCTTTAGACAAAGACCCTGAGGTGTGACTATAAATACAACTGTGGGTCCTCTGAGGAAAAGTCAGTCTCAGTACTGAATACCCATTACCTTCTAGAGAGAACAACAGATTCGTTTACCATAAATACTGTACTTGTGTCATTCTGACCCCAAATCTTTCCTTCTTTCTTTCCTCAACTTCATCGCAACTCCTCTCCATCACAAAAAATAGTGTGATTTACATTAAAGTCTTTCAACCTCAGCACTGTTGACGTTTTTTTGTCTTGGGGGGAAGCAGGTCATGCTGTTCACTGTAGGATGTTTAACAGCATCCTTGGTCTCCATCCACAGAGTCACAGCAGCATCCTCCCTGAGTCGTGACAGGCAAAAATGTCTCCAGACTTTGCCAAATGTCACCTGGGGGACAAAACTGACTCTGGTTAAGAATCATTTGGAATCAGGTCAAAGAGAGGAGCTACAGAGAGGTTTCTGACCAGGGTTGCCTGATACTTGCAACTATGGGATCTTGAGCTATGCTTCTAAAATTAGGTTAATTACAACCAACTCTCAATTATCTAGGGGCCAATTACCCATATTACCCCACGCTACCTGCATTCCACCCAATTCACCTTCTGCAAGCAGCTGGCACAACAGGGAAGAAGGAATTTAGAATCAAGCACATGCAGACATATGGGAATGTAGGATTATTCATTCTGTTTTGCTTAGGAGAGTGACTTAAGCATGTTAAAATGTATCTTCCCTGTATCTTCTCGCGTTTTAATGCTCCCCTACTGCCCCCCAGCCTCTGGCTTCCCAGACTGAACAGAGATCTGAGATCCTGTCTCCTGTCCCCTTTGGAGCAGCAAAATTTTTAATGTTACCTCTCTCCCTCCAAGCACTTGCTTTTATCTCCTTCAGGCAGAGACCAGAAGAGAGGTCTTCTCTGGTGGATCAGACCAGATACAATGTCACAGTATCTGAAGGCATAGAAGCCTAACATATGCACAGAAAGGGGGAGCCCCACATTCATATTTTTAAAATTATAGAACTAAAGTAAATACACAGTGCAGCTTTGATTCCGTTTTTCTCCCTGGACAGCTAGGTTTCCTGCAAGGATGGCACCCACAAACCTTTCCCACTATTGCATCTTCCACCTACTCCCCAACCCAGTACAGCTGCACACACCCCATCTCTCCTGGAACTGTTCTCAGCAAGCTCACCAACAAGCACCCACCCTGCCTTAGACTTAGATGTGAGGCCCATGAAGACAGGGAGTTTTTTCCATTTGGTCCACTCTACTAACCTTGGTGTCTAGCACATAGTAAGTGTCCAGGGCCTATTTTCTGAATGAAAGTCTGGGTAAATGGGTGGATGAGTGAGTGGGTCTCCCTCAACTTCTGAGAGGCATTTCTGATGTTGGCTACTCCTCCCCTCTTGTAATACATCCTGTCTTTGGCTACCAGGAGACTACATGCCCCGGTTTTCCTCTTACCTCCCCAGCTTCTTCCTCACAGCTTCTTTATATTTATGCATTCTTTAAACACACATTAACTGTACTTATCACTGCGGCTCACTGTGGCGTTTTCATACATGCATGCAGGATCGCTGATCAAATCCAACCTCCATTTTCCTAGCCTCCTCACATACATATGCCCAGGCTCCAACAACCACTATTCTGCTCAGCTTCTGATAGTGTCTACTTCAGCGTGTCCATTTGATGCTCTCGGGGTCCTTCCCAAACCCTCTTCTCACTTCACAACATTCTCTCCTCAGCCTCTTACCACCCTCACAGCACAGTCTTTCAAGCTGCCCCACATCCACTCAGGCATCACTGGTTTCCCAGAACTTCTGGAGCACCCCCTGGAGAACTCCCCTCCTCCAACTTCCCTGGGATGTGGACAATAACTCAAAGTTGCCCAATCAGAGGCCCAGGGATGCTTAGGTGGCCCAACACGAAGCAACGTAGGCCTTGCCCATGCTTTGGATGGTTGGTGATATATAGTCCTCTTTTCTTTGCTACTGAACTCAGAAGTAGGAGGGTGTGATCATTTGCCTAGAAGGCAGCCTAGGAGTTCAGACAGCTCACAGAAGCACAAGGTGAAGAGATGAGAGAGAAACCTACAACTGATCATTTCCTGTGAGCTCCTGGATCCAGTTATGTTTGAGAACCACAACTTCAGAAGTTTTTGGTTTAATGATACAGTGAATTTCCTCTTTGCTATGTTAGTTTGGGCTGGAGCCTGTCATGCCAACCAGCAGCCCCAGAGGGGGCAATGACTGCCATATACACATCACCACAGCCTGACTCAACTCTGACAACTGTGCTCCTGATTTCCTCTCTGCTACAATCCTACCCCATGGCTGAAGGAAAAAAAAAAAAAGAATACAAAGATAATGTAGCTTTAAAGCTTTTCTTGGAGGTTGCTGGCATCAGTTTTTTACCTCTGTGGACATGT